TAAAAAATTTGATATAATAAAATAGAGGCACCGAGAGCTTACTTGTAGCCGATCATCACCTACAATAAGTGCAATCAAAAAAGACAAATAATTCCGCAAACACGCTGCAACAGAATGATTTATTTGCATGAAAAAAAAAAATCGCTAATCGTGGCCTGCTTCTTCGTTTTGGAAATGTTGAAGACGCTAGTCTCGATCTTTTCAAAGCTGTCCAGGTGTGACAGCCCGGTTCCCTCCATGTGGCCAATACAACGGCGAATGATGCCGAATGCCGCCGCCACATTAGTGGCAGAGTACGCATGTGTAGCCAACGCCTCGTCCGGACGATCCTCCTCGTCTCACATGAGCTGTTAGAATGGACATTGTCGGCCTGGAGCTGCCAGCCACGAAGTCGTCAACAGACACTTCGTGTAAAACTGCGGCTGGAAAGCGGGATGACAACTCGCAAAACGCATTGTCTATGCGCTCGTCGTGGTCTTCACCGGTTTCTACAAGTTCTGCCGTCTCCAAGCCTACCTTGCGGAAGCAGTTGACCACTGTGTCTGTCTTCACGTCTCGCCAAGCATTGTGCATAAGTAAAATTCACGGAGATTTCCGACCACTCCTTCGTCATCCACTGTAGGGTGTCCTGGCTGCTGACAGCTTCGCTTTCGCCAGAATTGCTTTCGCCACCGATTTTTGTAGCACTGCTTAAGCCAATAAAGCCACCCTTTGTTGTCGGCGGCGTTGTTTCACCGAGTGCAGCGGAAAACCATTTGGCCTTGACAATCAGCATCGGGTCATCCACCGGAATGTTCTTTTCATCACTTCTATAAACCAAGCCTAGAGTGCATTTTCTACATTCCTGTGGGCAGAAGCGCGCACATGACAGGCTTCCGACATTCGCTGTTCCGCTGCCTTTGCCGCGATATCTCTTGTTTTTCAACAAGGTTCTCAGAGTGCTCCGTGGCATCCCAAAGCCGTCCGTGATGGTCTAACATTTCTCGCCCGTCTAAACATGCTGAATAGCCTTCAACTTCGTCACAAAGTCAAAGGTCTTGCGCTTATTGACACTGGCCATAGAAGTCGACAATTCAAGAAGTCCGCAGCTGCTATGCACACCATGCACAAAAAAAAAGAAATGCTGCACATGCGGTGGTACGTAGGCGACGCATCAGCGAAAGCAACAAAGTGCTTGTGAGGCGATGGCCACCTGCGAGGGCAACAGCAAAAGGCACGAGCTGTGGTTGGCTGATCAAAACTCACAAAACAGCAACAAAAAATAAAAGGCGAAAGGAAAAGGACAACGGCTCCTTCGTGCCTGCTCTCCGAGCCGACGGGTACACAGAGAAAGCATAAGAGAGAAAGATAAACGAAAAAAAAAAAGACTGCAAATTAGAGATTGTACAGTACGAGTCATCTCGCCCTCACCTTTTTTCGAGCGTTTCGGGTTTTGGCAGAGGCGTGGTGCCGCGCAGATAAAGCAGAGATCGCCAGGCGCTGCGAGTGCCAAAGTGTGCCTTCAAACTCGCACGCGGAGATGCACTGCCACGCACAGGGGGGGGGGGGGGGCAAGTGCCAAAGCGCACTTTCCAGCTCGCGCGGCGTTCGGTATATTCGAAGGTGGGTAAAACGACCGTTCAATATAAACGTGCGAATTTCTATACTTTTACAAATGAATTTCAAAGGGATAACTTACGAGTTTAATGTACCCGAAAATTCAATATATGTGGGTTCAATATAACCGTGTTTGACTGTACATACATGGGCGGGCTCTGTTCTTGGCTTGCACGCAAATGCATTTTACGGCAAAGCCGGCATCGGCCGCACGTCATATGTTTGGCTCACTAAAAACGTGGCATGTGTTTCCACCTTTAGTTACTGGCGTAGCATGGCCTTGTTCACAGACCTTGTTCCGAAAATACATCATTTCTAAACAGGAATGATCTTTTTCTGGGAAAGTATAAGTACAGTTTTTGCTGTTTTTAGCATTCACTCATATGGCCTAGCTACCACCATATGAATACTGTTTACTACTTGCCGCGTCAAGTCAATCAAAAGCGAACAATCTTTGTGGACATGTCACATGACATAACATCATTTCCCATAACAAAAAGAGCCGATGTATATTGCCCTAGCTCGAAATCGAGGTACGTAGTGTGCCTCTTGAATTAAAATTATAACAGCGTTGATTTCAGTGCTGCCACTCGTGCAACGATATCGGCGCATTCCACAGCCCAAGAAGAACCAATGAAAAATACATGCTCAAATTCTGTCCCTGGGCCCCCTCCCTTGCTGGCGGGACAACAGGAGGCCAGCGCGCAGGCCGAGCACGCGCTTTGACCAATCATGTGCGTGCGAGCAACCTTTGGAAACGAAGTGGTAGCATGACAATTGTTTTAGTGCGAGAACAGAATGAGGACAGAGGTACAGGAAGAAGAATTTGTCATCGTTCTGTTCTCGCGCTATAACAATCGTCACGTCACACCAACTAGCCCAAACCGCCCCGCTTCGGGGTGGTAGCATCACTCTTGCTGCATCGGCGCCATTTTCAGAAGCAACTTCAAGACAACACCAAGATGGCAGCGTCCAGTCGCTGCATTCAGGAGTTATGAGCGCGCGAACTTCAAACATATTTAGCCAATTTTCAGTCATTTCGCCTCCACCTGGACATTGAAAATGCTGTTTTTTTATTATTTCTCAATTGAATACAGCTTTCAGGTTTCGCCGAGAGATCATTACATGTTTGAACTTCACGAACTTTTTCAAAAATCCGCTTTTTTGCGATTTTTTTGTCATTTCAGGACCTGTGTCTCACAAAGCTCTGAAGCCCCAGTAAATCTCAGACCTAGTGGTTTTCAGCCTCTTTGAGCAACAAAGGCAGTGCTTCAGTGCATTGCACCGTAACCCACTACTCACGCCGAGAAAAAACAATACTGAAACTGTAGAAAAGGATTCGTAGATAGTTTGCTGGCTAACCCATTCCAATCCGAAGCCTGTACTACTCATACCGTATTTACTCGAACAATTGTCCACTTTTTTTTTTTCGAAAAAGAAAAAAAAAGGATGAAAAGTTAGAGGTGCGAGAATCACGCAGGGAAAACTTTCTGCTAAAACTTACAATGCACTAAGAAAAATATTAAAGAAAACTTAGTGGCTGCAAATTGGGGTTCCCACACCAACTAACTACAAGCTTTGAGAAGTACTAATTAAAACTTACCTTAACAATACCACCCTAGGTTCAATACAAAGCAAGATTTATTTGCACCACTAAATACACTAGCAAATAAAGTCTCGTGGCCGAACTACTCAGAGTCCGAGTCAAAACTGGAGTCGCTGATAGCAACCTCATCAGAGTCACTGCCAGCTTCGACATCGTCTCCAACACCACTGTCGTGTACCACGTCGTCTTCCATCCCGTCCAAGCGATTGGAAATCCCAGTTGTTTTGGAACTGCGGACTATGATTTCTGGGGGGACATCATGGACCATGCCTCGGTAATCCACATGCAAAGGAGCTCCACTGGCGGCTTCCTTATTTTGCCTCCAGAAGTAATTGCATGGTTGTGTTCGGCCCTAGATTCTGTACTCAGCATCCGAACATTATCCTCGAATGCGCGCCTGGTTCAAGGAAACGTCCAGAGGCTGCAGCATCGATACCAGGCCGCCGAGAAAAACGGCCAAATCAGTCCGCAGCTCTTTCAGCTTCGTCCGAACGGAGTCGACAACATGACCGCAGAAGCTGTCGACTACCAGCAGCGACGAGTACAGAAGTGCGCCTAGGAGGCCTCCCCAAACAGTTTTCACCAAGTCGACCCTCACATCAGCAGTCCTCCACCCCTTCTCCTGCACTGTTACTTGAATACCAGGGCAAAACTTTGCTTTCAGGAGGGTACTTCTTTAAAAAATTACAAAAGGTGGCAGCTCCCGTCCGTCCACTGTAACAGCGAGCATGACTGTGCACCGCTGCTTTTCTGCACCTGTTGTCCCGATGTGCACACTCTGCACACCTTTTTGTTCGACTGTTGGGCTGCACGGCATGTTGAAATTGAGTGGCGTTTCATTGGCATTCACAATCTGGGAGAACAAAAAGATATTTTCTTGCCGATTCCGAATCACAAACCGATGAAAATCTACAATCTTGTCTTCATATGCCGAGGGTAGCCGCTGACACAAATCGTTCTCGTCTTCTGAGTGACAGTTCATTTCGGCACATAAAGCGTGTGGCCCATCCATTGCTCGCACAGAAATCTCACGCCGGGACGCCCTCCTCCTTGGCAATTATGCGCACCTGGTTCTTCATTAATTTGATATATACGGCACACCAGCCTGCACGGAGACCCTTGACGTAGTCGAGTATAGCCGTCTCCACCTGTGAATATTTTCCGATCTTAGGCCCACGGAAGGCCCGGCGCGTCTTTTTGGTGGCCTTCAGCTGTGCGTGCTGCCATCGCCAGTACCGGACACGAAATTCATCAACTCCAAAGTGCCTCCCGGCAGCCCTGTTGCTAGGTTCTAATACATGGTGAATGACTTTCAACTTGAAAGTCTCTGTGTAGCTTGCGTACCGACCCGTAGCGTAATCACAGAACAACGTAACACACACACACTGCATGGACTAGCACTAACACGCTGCCATGGCAAGCCAAAACGCGTACTTGCAACTTGTGGCTTCGGTTGCATTAGATTAGGGCTCCGTGCGACAGCAGTTCGCATGATGCGCTCTAGGCTGTCGCCCAGTCGTGTGCTATCATCATTAGTCGTTAGAAGCGGACAGCGTTCTAGCAGCAATTTTGGGGGGTGCGATAACTACACAAGGAAAAAAAATCATAATTTTTTTAGCAATTCGGGGGGTGCAAGAATTATGCGAGGGTGACAAATACTTGAGTAAATACGGTATTCTCATGGGGGTACACAATCACAGCGTCAGATTCTCCTCTAGGTATCATTGTATGAAACTCTATGGGTGCAGCTTTCCCACCACTGGGCACTGCAGCAGCAATCACGTGAGCAGGCACTTACTTGGGGATTTCAATGTGACGCCACTGTGTGTGACGTGGAAAGATGTCAGGAATGGGCGAGGTGGCACCGTACACCCACTTGTTGGATCGCTCACAGTCAAAATATGGTCGCGACCACTTGACAGGCCCCGGATTGTCCGACGGATCTGCATGCAGAAGTGTCCCATTGAGAACGGCGGTCACAGGCTCCATTCAAGCTTATTGATTCAGGCCTCGCTCCTCACCAGTTCCAAATATTTACTAAGAAAAAGTCAGAAGATCAAGGCACCTTCCTACAAAACAAATCTGAAAGCCTGCACCGTAAAGGTGCCCCCTTATTACACATTCATTTTTGTAAGGTTCCACGTACCAGAAGTACAAAATAAAAAACCCTCTTTGCAACCCGAGAATAATGATTTTTTTTACTGCAAGCCTAAAGCTACGTGCTATCCTAATGGTGTTCATACAATATGTTCAGAGGTCACTTGAAACTACCTAACACGCAGCTTGTAGATAAACTAAGAACCTTCCAAAGCCGTCAGCAGCTTGGAAATATGTATAGGGCAGTTCTCAAAGGGGCCCTGCAACACTTTTCCAAGTAGCCATGGAATGAATTCACTAAAAGAGTTTATTACCTCTCAAATTCATAGATGCAAAAATTTTCAGAATCTGTTCAGTATGAGCGGAGCGGCTAAGATATGTCGCACACTGGAACTGCATTCTCTAGTCTCAACGAAAGTGCTGGCTCGGAGAGATGGCACGTGAAAAAAAAAAAACAATTGTCATGACGCCTCGTGACCTTGATCAGTTTTCCTTTTCTTTTCTTTTCTTCAAATACACAACTTTTCAGTGTGATCCTGCACACATGCGTGAAAAAGCCTTACACGATGACTCCACTAAGGACCAAGCATGCCACGCTCAAATCGGCTAATATCTGATACTCGGCCTGTGATGCAGTGATTTTTGAGCCAATAACATCATTTGTCAAGAGAAGAAAAAGCTATTTTAAGCTGACATTGAGAAGTTATTGTAAATTCCAGGCTGCTTGCTAGGCTATAATATATGGCACGCATGTTCTTGAGAGCCTTGACGACCAGTTTTTTCTGACCATGCTTGAAAGGTGTTGCAGGATTCTTAATTTAGGGATTTTTAAGGCTGACGGTCCAAGAGTTCCAACCACAGAGTAAGATAAGGGAGGAACGCCGACTCCGCCGCCGCCCCACACTTTCGTGTGGGACACATTGTGCAACGCGTACGCAGTGGTCTAACTCATTCCTTTGCTCTTATCCTCCGCTTCTCTTCCTGCTTTAGCACATGCTTCCTCCTCTCTCGGCACGTATCACTACGTGTAGCACCACCTGTCGAGGCGCATAAAAACGATTGAACAGCTGCGCTCACAAGGGCATGCACAAACTGGAGGAAACCAGCGGCGGCATCAGCAGGGAGCAGCAAGCGTGGAGCATGTCGTCTGCTAGAAAACCGTTTGCTCGGCTGCCTCAGTATGACACCAAACGAAACGTAAATATGCATTCTCTTAATGAAATGCAAAATAAATACATCGCACTGCTTTTCTTACACATATTCGAAACACTATCACAAATCTTTAGACAAAGCAGACAAAAGGTTCTGCTGAAAAAGAATGGCAAAGCAGACGTACGCTTGTTTTCCACGCCTGGACACCTGTGCGGCAGTGTTGGCCAGACATTTTCGTGTTACACCCTTTGTTTAAAATGTTTCGAATGTGCTTATTTATGCTCGAAGGGACAAGATATCTTCGTATCTGTGTGCGAAAAGGCGGGGTGACTGGACAGAGCGCAACGAAGTGTTTTGTCCCCGGCTGCATGTCTGATTATGGCAAAGGGTGAAAAAAAATTCGGCTTTTCGCGGCTCCATCTCATCCACTACTACTGGATCACTGGTGTCAAAAAGTACCTGTGAGTAAGCGACCACTGAAATCGAAAGACAAGATAAGTGCTTGACACTACGAGAAGCACTTGATAGGTACTTAAGCGAACACAAAGGAAACATTCTACTAGATGTAAAGAAAGTGCCTCGACTTTGAGAGGGAGCCATTCCTCCCATCTTTGGGGAAAGCGTGGCTCAACTCAATGATGCTGAATATCAGGAGGAACCATCAGACACCGGTGCCAAAGAGCCAGAGGACATAAATTTGTCTACAACCGCATACAGAATGGGTGCCTTTTTTTGCCCAGATAATAAAAATTTTCAGCATTGCCTATGAGGGGTCTCCTTCAGTTGGTTGCCTGGCAAGGATCTAAGAAAAGACAACAGCTTGAGTGCACCTTCTAACGAACAATGTGCGGCAGAAAGCGGCGCGAGCAGCTCTACTGCTATAAGCGACAACAGACACTCTCTGTGCCCAGGTCGAAGCTCACTTTTTACAATATTACCTCATGTATTAAGTTCATGAATACATTATATGTTTATGTGCGTTTTAATGGCATTGTATAATTTTTCGTGGTCCACGTTAAAGATGTCAGGTATTTGGCCTGTTTCCAATAAAAGAAGTAAAATGATACGCTGGGTTATATTTTCTCATAACGCCGATCCGCAAACTGCAACAGTCCTGCTCTTTAAAGGAAAGAATTGGGAGGATACATAAGGCATGCGCAAAGCAGGCGACAAAACGAATAGATGAGCAGACCCATGAACGCAGCCAAACGCGCGTCCATGCCATTGCTATAGCAACGATCCTCCACCACTTTACTCCATTTGTAGCACCACCTGGCAGACGAACCACGAAGCATGAAGGGGCGTTACAAAATGTGTACCTTCCGGACAAGCAGTCGGTGCTCCTCTTATTTCTTACTCCGTGGTTTCTAGCCCATTTACCACCATACTGGAAGGTACGAAACTGAGCATGTATGATGGGTTATTTTCACTGAACAAGTGCACTGTTATCCAGTCTGCTCAACACAAGGACATTCTTGCGCTGCAACACAAAGGGCATGAAGACATTTGCTGCTGGGAAGAATGCATCAGAGAGCTTGGTTGGTGGCCTCTGCAACCAATGCATTCCGATCCCACTGATACTAATGCCAACACTGAGGAGACTATTCGCAATGCTCATAGACTGTCACGCCGCCAAGTGGAATTCAGGAGCAACACTCTCTTGTTCGGCGGTGCTAGCCTCAGTGTTAACATGTTAGCAAGAAACGAACACAAACCACTTTGTATGTTGTGTGCATCAGTGAATATACCAGACCGTCCGTGACACGATAGATCTGATTCATTCTTTCGAGAGGCAAAGTTTTCGCGGAAATACGCGGCAACTCGCCCTTTCGATTATAGCCCGCAGAGTACACATATCAGCTTCGCAAGAATTTTCTGCAGCCACGTTGGATAGTTAAATGTTATTGTCTAACTTTTGTAGCTGAAACTCACCTTGTTTTACGTGCGTATAGCATTCGTCAATGCTTTTGTAGTGCATGAATCCCATAACATTCATTGCAAGCGGAAAGTAGCGCAGGCTCACAATTAGCGCTTCCAAACCTTGGCCTACGCTGTGCCCCTTGTTTTTTACACTCATTGATAGATGGCAGCACAATACAAGCAATTTTTTTCTCGCCTGTTATCGGAGCAAATGTTCTCCGCATCCCCAGATAAACGTAGTGAGTGACGCCGTGTTAGGACGGTGCAATGATGCCTTGTTGGTGCTATCGAAGACGTTCGGCGGAGAGAATTCCTCAGATTACTTTCAGCAGTGATGTTCAAAGAAAGCGCCTTGACGTCGAGGATTTTTCACTGGACGTAGATGGTTGTCAATGCGCTGAGAGTAACAGCGACGATGAACGATCAGCTGCTAGCTCACGAACAGCGAGTCGCACTTCCCGTCCCGTCGTGCGTTAATGTTTTTTTTCACGCTCGTAAGTCGCTTTGATTGTATTTATTGTATGATATTCTTCAGTGAGCTTGAAATAAAAAAGAAAACATGGTTTTTCTTGTGCATCGCATGCAGCTCAATTACAGCGAATATTACAAAATGCCGCATACCGCCAACCAGTGAAGCGAAATGGTTAGAGCAATGAAATATGCAGTTACGACTACAGTCCTCGCTAACTTCTCCTGCACTTCACCAGTGCCGTCCGAACGACGTTGTTGTTCAACAAATTTTCAAAATTCTGACGTTGAAAAAAGCATATGCATGTATTCGTTTATATATCCTTGTTTTGATCACGCTGATAGAACCTGCAACATCCGAGTACAGCAAATTGCGCACTGTTGGAGTCTGATCATGGCTGTGACACAAGCCCTACTTAATGGGAAGTTAAATGCTTGTGTTCTACTGAAGAAGCAGCTACATGATGCTTACAGCCCAAGTTATGACGACAGTGTAATATGCTTGCAAAACATCGCAACAGTAAACATTCGGTCCGCTACTCTCTAGTGGCCAACTATTACGACAAATTCGCCAGGTAGGCTCGGCACAAATCATCTCGAAGTGCCGTTCAGTTGATACGCGAGTTCTAGTTGACGCAGTTTTCTATAGCTCGCACAGGATTGTGCAAAGCATTGTTGATACACGGACGATCAGCTGACACCACCACCCTTCGCACTGCGGCAAGAAATGAGGTAGCGACGACTGAAAATAGCGCTAAAAAACGAGGACACAAGAAGAGGACACACAGCACAGGCGCTAACTTCCAACATAATATTTATTACCACCGCACGCTCGCCTATATCACAAAAAAAATATCACATGACATGAAAGATGCGCACAAAAAATTAATTTCTTAGAAAATACAATTCTTTATCACTAAGCGTAAGAGAGGGAGTGCTGACGCACTTAGACCCCAGTGAAGCGATAGCCTCAGCCTCAATAATCTCTCTAGTAAGCTTATCGAACATTCTCTTGATAACTGTGCATGCATTGAATATCGGCGCGCAGCCGCAGGATTCACAATGTATGGCCAACCAACTCCCCTGGCCGTTTTTCACATTATTACAATGTTCTCTTAATCGATCATTAAGGCAACGGCCCATCTGTCCAATGTACTCTTTACCACAAGAAAGCGGGATGCGATAAACAACGCATATGATGCAGGGGACATAAACAGTTCGATGCTTACTACACCCTTTGGGTTTTTCGTCACGGTTATGAAGGCCACAAAGGCTGACCAACTTCTTGGGAGCCGAAAAGACAACC